TCCTTTCCGTGTGTTTTGGAATGATAATGTATGTCCTGTGCCATTATATGCTTTTTTGATTTTGAATTTTACAGGGGGATTGTAATTAAGAGATTGCTATAGGTCTCAGAAGAGAATTCAGACTTTTAAGCATTGTTGAGACTGTGATAGACTTTTGAAGTTGCACTCCATGCATTTTTTTTTTTTTTTTTTTTTTTTTTTTTGGCCTTATGATATGGCTACAAGCCTTTGGGGGCCAGGGAGTAGAATATGGTGTTTTAAAAGAAAATGACCCCCAAATGGCCCCCAAAGGGAGTGGCATTATTAGGAAATGCCATGCTCCCTGCCATGATGATAACGGACTGAACATCTGAAACTGTAAAACTGTTAACAAGCCACCCCAATTAAATGTTTTCTTTATAACAAAAAAAAAAAAAAAAAAAAAAAAAAAAAGGAAAAGAAAGAAAGGAAGGAAGGAAGAAAAAGAATGGCTCCCATGAGCCCATATATTTGAATGCTTAGTCACCAGGAATGATACTCTTTGAAAGGATTTACAAGGATTAGGAATTATGGTCTTGTTAGAGGAAATGTGTCACTGGGGGAGGGCTTTAAAGTTTCTAAAGCCTATGCCCAGTCCAATCTCTCTCTGACAGTAGATCAAGATGTAGCTCTCAGCTACTGGTCCAGTTCCATGAGCACCACCATGTCCCTACCATGATGATAAGAGAGTAAACCTCTGAACTGTAAGCAAGCCTCAATTACATGCTTTCCTTTAAAAGAGTTGCCGTAGTCTTGGTGTCTGCACAGCACTATTACAGATGGTTGTGAGCCACCATGTGGTTGCTGGGAATTGAACTCAGGACCTCTGGAAGAGCAGCCAGTGCTCTTAAACTCTGAGCCATCTCTCCAGTCCCGGCATTCGCTTTTAAAAGCAGGATTTGTCAAAAACATATCAAAAGCTTTGAAAGTGTATAACTGCTCTTAAATTGGTGAGAATTTGTCATGAGTAAAACACTAGGTGTCCATAGAAATATAGTTGAAACTATAAATTATAGAGGTCTTGATAATGGTGTTGATGGTGGTGACGATGACGGTGATGATGATGGTCATGGTAATAATGGTGGTCATAGTGATGATGGTGACTATGGTGGTGGTGATGGTGGTGATGGTAGTCATGGTGATAGTGATGATGGTGGTCATGGTGATGATATTGGTCATGGTGATGATGGTGGCATGGTGATGATGGTAGTGATTCCCATTATTACTAATATCATCATCATTTATTTTCTGCAGTACTAGGGGTTGGGTATAGGGCCTAGACTATGAGTCTCTGTTTTTAGCTGCTGGGCTATGTTGAAGACTGTGGAAACTCTAAGAGATGGAGTCTCCCTGAAGGAAGCAGGTCACTAGAGGTAGACCTTTGAAGGGTTCATTAGCTTCTGGGTTTGCCCTGAGTGTTCTGCTTCTTAGTTGGTCAAGATGCAAAAACTGCTACCACCACAAGCTACCACTGCCAAGAACCCATGTGTTATGCTTGGCTGTCCCTGCCATAATAGATGATCTGTGGCCCTGTAGATACACAAGCCAAAATAAACCATTCTTCTCAAGTTGGTTCTAATGGGTATTTTGACCATAAGGACAATAAAATAACCCTATAAAAAGTCCTTTATGGACAACAAAGGCTGGTCCTCCTTGACTCTGGCAGATCAGAGGGACTCATCTCTCCCTGGGGGCACCATAGTAGGGTAGGAGTTGGACCTTGCTAGGACAACTGTATGCAGTTAAATAAGGTGATGTTAATGGTAACGATAGACCTTCATTGTTAGCTCTCTTCTGAATGCCCTTCCTCTCTCTCTCTCTCTCTCTCTCTCTCTCTCTCTCTCTCTGATGTTTGTGGCCAGGGCAGTTTGATTCTCTAATTGACAGTTGTTAGAAGCTTCCCTTCTGCCGGGGCTGCCTTGAGCCCAGGCTTACTAGCCAAGCAATCCCTATTTGGTAGTCAGCTGGATAGCCCTCATGCCAGCAGGCTGCTTTGAACACTTCACGGATGTCTTGAGAAAGCTACACTGTGACCACAGCTGCTTGCTGCCAAAGCACTACTCCAGCTCCAAAAGGCACTGTTCCAGATTCTTCTGTTTCAGACAACTTGTGCCAAATTCTTTGCCACAGCAAGCCTTGGTGAATTCTCAGTTGTTTTTACTCAGGCTAGAGGGTCAATGTTTCTTGTAGGCCCATATGAAGGCTTGTGGTTTGTTAGACATGGTCTTTCATCTGAATGGACTGTGCTGTGATTGGTTCAAATACAGTCCTTCATTTGCATGGAGGATTATGCCACACTGCAAACATTTGCCTACCCCCTTCCTGACCATGTAACAGCAGGCTGTTGAGTATCTTTTGGAGTCAGCCAAGAGATCCCCTTCTGTGCTGCCCCCTGGTGTTGTGATATTAGGTCCATTAAAAGGCTCTCTCTCTTTTTGAAATTACATATTTTTATTTTATGTGCATTTGTGTTTTGCCTGTTTATATGTCTGTGTGAGGGTGTTGGATCTTGGAGTTACAGACAGTTGTGAAATGCCATGTGGGTGCTGGAAATTGAACCCAGATCTTCTGAAAGAGAAGTCAGGTGATATTAACTGCTGAGCCATCTCTCTAATCCCTTCTCTCTCTCTCTTTTTTAACTGCTTACTTTTTTGTTTGTTTTGTTTTTTGAGACAGGATCTCACTATGTAGCTCTGGTTGTCCTGGAACTACGTATGTAGACCACACTGATCTTAAACTCATAGAGATCCATCTGCCTCTGCCTCCTGAATGCCTGTGCTACCTACCACACCCTGCTTATTACTTTTCAACTGTAAAAAAATTAAATATATATTTACATGTGTGTGTGTGTGTGTGTGTGTGTGTGTGTGTGTGTGTGTTTATACCATTTATGTTAAGATGTCCTCAGAGGCCAGAGGAAGACATCAGATACCCTGGAACTGAAGTTAAAGGTGGTTGCAAGTGCACTGACCTGGGTTCTGGGCACTGAGCTTGGTCTTCTGAAAGAACAGCAAGTGCTCTTATCCATTGAGCCATCCCTATGTCTTCCACCTTTAAACAATTTTATTTATGTGTATATGGGTGTGTGTGTTTACATACATTGTTTTCTCTGTGTGTCTATGGGGGTGTATGCAATGTGAGTGCAGGTGCCTGAGGAGCTCAGAAGAGGGTGTTGAATCCCCTGAAGCTCCTATTAACAGACAGATGTGAGCTGCCTGATGTGGGCCTCTGGAAGAGCAGTGAGCACTCTTTTTTTTTTTTTTTTTTTTTTTGTTTTGTTTTGTTTTTGTTTTTTCGAGACAGGGTTTCTTTGTAGCTTTGGAGCCTGTCCTGGAACTAGCTCTTGTAGACCAGGTTAGCCTTGAACTCACAGACATCCACCTGCCTCTGCCTCCCGAGTGCTGGGATGAAAGGTGTGTGCCACCACTGCCCAGCTCATTAGGCATCTTAAATTGACTTTTTTTTTCTCCAATTGTGTTTAGTTCGAAACACAAGTGACAGCTCATGCTGGAGAGGATGTGGAGCAAGGGGAACACTCCTTTACTGCTGGTGGGAGTGCAAACTTGTACAGCCACTTTGGAAATCTATATAGTGGTTTCTCAGAAAACTGGGAATCAATCTACCTCAAGACCCAGCTATATCACTCTTGGGCATACACTCAAAGGATGTTCAATCATACAACAAGGACACTTGCTCAACTATATTCATAATAACTTTATTCATAACAGCCAGAACCTGGAAACAACTTAGATGTCCCTCAACCGAAGAATGGATAAAGAAAATGTGGTACATTTACACAATGGAGTATTACTCAGAGGTTAAAAACAATGACATTGTGAAATTTGCAGGCAAATGGGTAGAACTAGAAAAAAATCGTCCTGTCTGCCTCTAACTCCTGAGTGCTGGGATTAAAGGTGTGTAACACCTACCACATTCAGCAGTGAATCTAAAAGAAGGAAGAAAAGAAAAAAAAAAAGAAAGAAAGAAAGAAAGAGAAGTACGGTCTGAAAAGATGGCTCAGCAGTTAGGAGCACTTGTTCTTACAGAGACCCTAACTTCAATTCCCAGCACCCACATAACAGCTCAAACTGCCTCTAACTCCAGTGTGAAGGAATTTGACATCCTCTTCTGCCTTAGGCATGCACCTGATACATAGACATGCCTACAGGCAAACACCCATACACAACAATTGTTTTTAAAAAAAATTGAAGTCTAAAACGTTATATTCCGAAGAAGCCTGCACACAAAATTCCACCAAATAGCAGAGATGACAACAGTTTAACTGAGAGAGCAAGATTAGCTCCTAATATGTTTCCTGGAATTAGGTCCAGGTTTTCAGGTTTGCAATCCAAAGAAGTGGTGAGAATAATTGAGAAGACAATCTTGGGAGAAAAAGAGAGACAAAAAAGAGGAGGAGTAGGAAAAGGAAAAAAGAAACAAACAACAAATCAAGGCTGGTGAAGCCTAAAGTTGAGTGAACACTACATAACCAGATGTGGTGGTACATATCTGAATCCCCAGTTCTTGGGAGTCAGGGGCAGCAGGGTTAAAAGTTAAATGTCATTTTTGGCTATACAATGAGTGAGGAGCTGGGGCTACATAAGGCCCTGTCTTAAAATCAAAATTTAAATAAGTGAAGGAAGTAGACACTATTTTATTTTGTTTTTGAGACAGGATTTCACTAAAAATCCCTTTCTTGCCTGGAACTCCAGCTGTAGATCAGGCTAGCCTTGAACTCACAGAGATCCAAAGTGTTGTGATTAAAAGGATGTTTGAATGTTAAAATTTCAAGTACAAATGAAATAAAATCAGTGAGGGTGGGGGTGATGCATGCTTTCAATCCTAGGACTAGAGAGGCAGGTGGATCTCTGTGAGCTTGAGGCTAGCCTGGTCTACAGAGCTAGTTCTAGGACAGTCAAGGCTACACAAAGAAATACTAAAGATAAAATTTAAAAAAAAAAAAAGAAGATGAAACCGTGTGTTTGCTTGGGCAGCATACTTGCTAAAATTGGAATGATACAAAGATGATTAGCATGGCCCTTATACAAGGGTGACATGCAAATTTGTGAAGTGACCCATATTTTTGATTTGTTATTAAGGATACTTCTTTCAAAACTGATAATACTGAACTATCTTAAGTGACATGTTAAGCCTACTTTGTTGGTTAATGTAATGGAAGACCATGTAAGAAAAAGATGTATTACTGCTTGCCCTACTTTGATCATTTCCAGTGAGTAAATAGATATGTTGAATAAAAACAAAACAAAACAATGAACCAGATGGTGTAAAAGATATACAAAGTGGGAATGAGTGTGTAAGTTTAACCACTCATGGGACTTAAAAATACACAACCTCTACAGTCAACTGAACTGACCAGGTTCTCCTCATGGGGCCCTGTGTATACCGGTTCCAAGCAACAGCCTCCTTGGGAGCATGCAGCCTGTACCTTGTTTGTGTTGCCCTGAGGGGTCTTTGAAACAGAGTTTTCTGGTGGATATGCATGTCTCTGAGCTCATGCTGCCCCTACTCTACACTCCAGACCCAGCACAGTGGCCAGTTTCACACAAGTCAGATCATCATGTCCATCTGCTTCAAGTTGCAGAATAAGGAACATGTGTTTGAGGCTCTAGGAAAGGCCAGGTTTAAGCCCCTGGCAACCAGGAGATACACATCTCAAAGAAGTTGGGCCTCATCCAGTTTAATTCATAAGAATTTGAAGGCATGGCCTCTGAGAAGCAGCTCATCCCTGATGTCTGTGGGGTCAAATGCATCCCCATTCATGGTCCCCTGGAGCATTGGTGTACCTGCACTCTGCAAGGTTTCCTCTGGGCTGAGTTCCACATTCTGCCAATCATGTTTGCTAATGACTCTCACAGACCAACTATAAAACCAAATGTAGTTGCTCATGCCTGCAGTCCTAGCATTTGATAAGTGGAGGTGGGTGGATCAATACTTCAAAGCTAACCTCAGTCATAAAGGAAGTTTGAGGCTATCCTGGAGTACATAAGACCCTGCCTTTAAAAAGTGCTTACACACATGCACCACAATAGTCACACAGAATTTAGGAAGCTAAAGCAGGAAGGTTGAGATTTCAAGGACACTCTGGGTTACAGAAAAAGACCCCCATTTCAAAAACTAAATAAATAAAAAAACAGCAAAACAAAACCACACACATCACAGAGCCTAAATAAATGAAGACATATATCATTACCGTGTTTGTAAGCTAGAAGATTTAATATTGATAAGGTGTTAATTCTCCTCAAATTGATCTGTATATTTAATACAATCCCACATGAAATACCAACAGTCTGTTTTTCTAGATGTCAACAAAAAGATGCTAAAATTTACATCAAAAATCAATAGCACACTTAAAGTATCATTATCAGGGAGACTGAGGCAAAAGGATCTTAAGCATGTGGCTAGTGTTATTAAAAAAAAAAAACAACAGAGAGGCTGTTGTTATGGATGGTTGTAAGTTGTTGGGAACCAAACCCAGGCCCTCTAGAAGAGCAGCCAGTGCTCTTAACTGCTGAACCATCTCTCCAGCCCTCTCCTAATTTCTGGACCAACCATTGCAGTATTACAAGAATGTAGCTCGGTGAACCCTAAACCCTAAACAACGTTTTCAAGAGATAAGGGTCTCTCTCTATGATACAGACAACTGCTCAAGTAATTCTCCTGCCCCAGTGTATGGGGTAGCTGGGACAAAAGTTGTCTGCCATTTTCAAAGTCTGGTCGGCTGAAATTAAAATCAGAATTACCTAGAACCTTGACTCTGCGTATGCAGGGGTTTACCTGGGAATCTGCCACTGTGATAAGCTTGTCATGGCATGCCACCTGCCCTTTGGAAACTCAGCTCTGGTTGCTGTTATCATTGGATCCCTGAACCCTGCCTGGGGAGAAGTTGCTTCGGTTTTTGAGTTCTCATGTTTAGTTCAGATGCTCCCTGCCAGAGTGTGACTACCATACCTTCCTGAGATGGTGGGATGTCACACAGCACGGTGTTTGTCCTTACAGGACTCTGCCATTTGTGTACTGGATGGCATTTCTACCTGCTGGAGTCTGAACACGGCAGCAGAAGCTGCCGAAGGGAGGAAAGCAGCTGTAAGCCAGCCTGTGTTATTCGGTATAAGACCCTGGTGTAGGGGGAGCATCTGCAATAGCAAACATATAATAAAGGGCTCATTCACTACTTAAGACTTCACTGGAGCTCAAGATCCCGTGTTCTATGCTTTCCTCTGTGCCCAACCATATTTTCACATTTATTTATTTATTTATTTGCTCTCTCTCTCTCTCTCTCTCTCTCTCTCTCTGTCTCTGTGTGTGTGTGTGTGTGTGTGTGTGTGTGTGTGTGTGTACACCCACATACCACACAGCTAGCATATGGAGGTGAAAGGACGATTTTCAGGGTTGGTTTTCTCCTTCCACCATGTGGGCTCCCAAGATTGAACTCGGGTGCTTTTCTCCACCACCAGTACCTTGCTTCTTCAGGTTTGTGGCAATCTGACTTCTTTTATGATTTTTCAACGTCCCATTTACTTGGGCAATTCTTTCACCAACATCTACTTCTCTCACAAAGTTCTTTAGAGCGGGGGCATCCTGGACACCAAAGTGCTTGGAGGGTACTCAATCGATGGACGACTCTGAAGGAAGGCTGGGCACAACCTGAGACTACATGGGATCCATAAAAGAGCGGACATCACTCCCACACCCCAGGGAGATCCACAGAATTTAGGGCAAGCCTCAGCTGTGGCTGAGAATAGAGCGGTGCCTTGGGAACACTCCAGGGCAAAAGGGGTATCGCAGAGCCCCAGAGGGCACCCAGCTGCCGACTTCGTGCTTGTGGGCCTCAGTTTCCCTAGCATCGACACAGTGGACCCTGAACCAGCCCTTGCAGCCCTGGGTACACTAGGCCTCCGTGCCCCTCGAGGGCGCTCCAAGTCAGTCCTCCAGAGCAGTTGCGCTCGGCGGTGGCCGCTCTAGCGGCGTGTCGGCGGCGCGGGGCGTGTCGGGAAGGCGGCGGGCTAGTGCGACCCTCGGTGACGGCAGCAGCGGGAGTCATGGTGGGTGGTGAGGCCACCGTCTCAATAGAGGAGCTGGTTTCCGGGGTGCGGCAGGCGGCCGACTTCGCCGAGCAGTTCCGCTCCTACTCGGAGAGCGAGAAGCAATGGAAAGCGCGCATGGAGTTCATCCTGCGCCACTTGCCCGACTACCGAGACCCACCCGACGGCGGCGGCCGCCTGGACCAGCTGCTGTCCCTATCCATGGTCTGGGCCAACCACCTCTTCCTGGGTTGCAGGTGCGGACCCCCGCTGGCCGGCTGACCCCATCTGCCCACCTTCAGGCTGGCCCTACCTTGCCCCACGCTGAACCCGGCCCAGCCTCCTACTGCCTTGGCTGATCCCCCTCTTACGGTTCCCTCGGGGAAGATGTATCTCTTCTCTGAGCCTCGCTTTCCTCCGGTAAATGGACGGTTGTGATGGCTACAGCAGTTAAATGGTGTAGAGTGCAATGCAGGTGGGCTCGGAGGCGGCTGTATTGTTATGTTAATTTTATTACTGTTTATTAGCCCAGAAGATTGCTTTTGCAGAGTGTTTGAAGTCCTGTCACTCACATGGCAAAAGTGCAGACAGAAACTGAAACTAATTCCCCCCCCCGCCCCCCCCCCCCGTTGAAGATACTTAGCAAGAGGACGTGATGTTTTGCACCGTTGGTTGGTAGATTTCACCGCTAGGGCAGGATGTAATCTTTTCCTCTTCAATTTCTTCTTTGCTTCTTTCTAAAGAAAGTAACATGCGTTTTTCTTGCTGTCCCAAACCTCCCCTGAACCTTTACGATCACACCAGGAAGACAAGAGCTTGGCCTTGAGATATGCCTTTTACTCCGCCAGGAAAAAAAACCTACCAGGTTTTTACACTCCTTTTTTTTTTTTTTTTTTTTTTTTTTTCCATTTCATTTATTTTTAATTTTTAAGGCAATCGACCTTTATAGCTGAGTCTGGCCTCTAGTTTATTATGTAGCCAGGTAGTTCTGGAATTCCATATACTGAGCGTGCATCTCCAAGCTTTTATAGGCTTCTAGAGTTTCTTGAAATTGTATTAAAATAGGATTACCTGACTCAGATCTAGCCGGTCACATGGCCCCTCCAGGACAAACAAACCCCTTGGTTTGCTTTTTGGGCTTTGTGCTAGGGATGAAACTGCAGTCTTACATATATCAAATAAGTACTCTACCACTGAGCTACATACACCTCCAGCACTGAAGGTACTTGGTTTCAGATCTTGGCATATTTGTTAGAACAAGATCTGGGGAAGTTGTGCCAGACACACCCATCACACACATATGCTCACCCTCCCTTCCGCCTTCTAGGCACCCTCTAAAATCCTACTTTACAGGAGCCAAGGTCATACAAATAACTGAGAACCAACATTAGACCAACATTCTGTATGTTTTAAAAGTAATCAAATTTTTGGCCCTCAAATCTCATCCATGAATATGTACTACCTGACGTATGGTGTACCTGTTTTTGTAATTTTATTTATTTATTTACAGCTATTTTAGATTTTTATATGTATGGGTGTTTTGTCTACATGTCTGTCTGTACTGTGAGTGCCTGATGATTGCTGGAGGCCAGAAGAGGGCATTGGATTCTCTGGAACTGGATTTGCAGATGGTTGTGAGTTGCCATGTGGATGCTGGGAATTGAATCTGGATCTTCTGGAAGAACAGCCAGTGGTCTTAACTGCTCCTGTTTTTGTAATTAAAAAAAAAAAAAGATTTTTATTTATTTTTATTTTTGTGTATGGATAGGTACCCAGTATCCTCAGATACCAGAAGAGGGCATCAGATCTCTGAGAACTGAAATTATGTGGGAACTGAACCCAGGTCCTCTGCAAAGAGCCTCAAGTGCTCCTAGCTTCTGAGCCAACTCTAGTTTTGTTTTTTTAATTCTTCAAACATCTGCCATGTTAGCATTCTTCAAGCCTAGATCTGTATGCACAGGTGGAGAGAGCCTCTTGTTAACCATGTGCTGAACACTATAGTTTTCCCTGCAGTATTAAGTATCTGTAGCCCCAGCTACCGAGAGGGCTGAAAGGAGCATTGCTTAAACCCCAGATGGCATCGTATGACCTTACCATTGAACAAATGGTTCTGTAGTGTAGGAGTTGCGTTTACAGTCTGAGAACCTTCACTTCTTGTTAGCCCATAGTGACGGTGAGTCTTCCCAGGTTTTTACCTTGCTGCTTTTTGTTGTGCAGTTACAATAAAGACCTTCTGGACAAGGTGATGGAGATGGCTGACGGGATTGAAGTGGAAGACCTGCCACAGTTTACAACCAGAAGTGAATTAATGAAAAAGGTAATGAGTAGACATGACAGTTCCAGCTTTGACACTGTGCCCTGTTGGTTTTGAGCCTTTTTGTCTCCTGCTCCACAGCCTTAAGCCCTTTCGTGATTTCCTCGGAGTTTGTGTAAACCTTCTCATAACTAGATCACAAGTCTGCATGATAAATTATGTGTTGCCGGTGGAGGAACACACAGGCTCAATCTCCTTGGTTTGTCTAGGACACTTCTCTTGATGCCAGGTCCTTTACGACAGATAAACTGGGGATCAGTAAGGAGGGCCCTCAAAAAGCTACCAACATTTCCTGGCTATACTGCTCCTGAAGGACTCCCAGTGAGCATAGCACAGAGGTTTTACACATCTGTATTCATCACTGTATGGTGGCCATCACTAGACAAATGGATATAGAAATGCAGTCCGTACATGTACAGAGTGAAATTCTGTTCAGCTGTGAAGAAAAATGAAGTTGATGTTCATGGATAGAAATGGAGATCATTATGTTGTGCAAAATAAGCTAGAATTCAGAAAAACAAGTACAGGTATTCTCTCATAGGTAAAATGTAGGCTTAAGTGCATGTATTATGTGTGTGTTAATGAGAATTGAGCCTAGAGCTTTGTGTGTGCTGGGCAAGTGCTCTACCCCCAAGCTGTAGTGTGCTTTTCTTTTTCAGTTTCTTCCTTCCACACAGGGTCTTGCCCAGGCAGCCACAAGCTTTCAGTCCTCCTGCCTCTGCCTCCCTGGTGGCCTAGATGACAGGTCTCTGCCCCGATGAACAGCTATTTTATTTATTTTAATATTTGGGGGGGTTGTTTGTTTGTTCAGCTTTGGTTTTATTTTTTGAGACAGGATCTCACTCTACAGCCTTGGCTGGCCTGGAACTCAATGTGTGTACCAGAATGTTCTCAAACTTGGTATGATCTTCCTACCTCTGTCTCCCTATTTCTGGGGTTATAGGAATAAGCCCCTAGATTTGGCTTATTTTATTTATTTATTTATTTATTTATTTTTAAAAAAAGTCTTGCTTAGAGTGCTAAAGTTAGAAGTACTTCATTTTAGATTAATTTGTACCGAGTATCTCTGCTTCAGCAGGCCAGGGCTGGAACAGACTTGTGTGGACTCTCTGACTTGCTGATAAGGAATGTGATGGGGTAGTGTCCAGACACCACAGCTGTGTTCTGGTCCCCGGGCTTAGTTAGTCTTATGGCTGTGGCCTTGTACACAGTGAGCTTTGCCCTAGAGTCTTAAGTCTGGATCCTGGATCCCTGGGGCCAGGGAGAGGCGGAAAGAACTTTGGAGAATGGGGCTGTCTGTTCCAGCTAAGCACCCCAGAGCATTCGTTTTTTTCTCACATCTGCCCTAGTCTCTTACTGCTGAGACTGATTTGGGAGATAGTGTAACCATGTAGGATCCAAGAGTGCAGGGCCTGCATGGGTAATGACCTACTTTTCAGCCACCAAGGCTTGGGAGAGCCCTGTTTCTGTGGGGTATGGATTTCTGACAGCTAGCAAACTTGAACTTGACCTTATGCAGGGCTTCCATCACATGCTCCTGATTCTTAGCTTAGCACAGAGGGACACAAAGACCTAACCAGTGTGAACCCAGGCCACTGTGTCCTGGGGCTTCCCAGAGGCATCTTGAGTAACTAACTGGAGCCTGTGAGCCCCAACCCAGAGCAACAAGTTGATACTGATAATGTGGAAGGGGTGGGCTGATTCTCACATGGGAAAGCCGTATTTGCACTGTACTCCAGGACTTTGAAAGAGACCGTGTGTGGAGACAAAGTGAGAATATTTCTCATTTCTCACATTTGTCTTCTACCCTTAGTCACAGGTGTCAGTCTTGGGCCCAGGAGATGACTTAGCAGATAGAGGTGTTTGCTGCCAAGCCTGATGACCTGACTCACATAGTGGAAGGAGAGAACTGACTCCTGAGAGTTGTCTGTTGACCTCCACTCATGTGCTGTGGCCTGCACACATACATGAGCACACACGTGTGTGAACTAAACAAGATTCTTCTAGGAGGCTGGGGTGTGGCTCAGTGGTAGAGTGCTTGCCTGGGTAACCCCAACAAATCAAAACTTCTGTAGATAAGCCCCTGCTGAGAAAAGCCATCTACGAACTGTGACTGGCTTCTGTGCCATTGAAAGCCATCTCTTGAGAGTCCTCTGCAGAGAGCCCTAGGGTCTTCCAAGTCATTTGTCCTTCCTTTCATGTCAGGTGAAGCTGGAGTAGTAGGCCAGAAATCTAAAAGCCTCATCACTGTGCCAACCAGAATTGATCCTCAGCTCTAAAATTAGACTTTAGTTGGGTTTTAGAGTTAGTTGGCATGTGGAAATGAATCACTCAGCATTGTTGGCACCCCGAGGCCAGACAATGACGATGACTTAGACATAAGCTCTCTAAAGTTTTAAAAATACATTTTGCCCTCCTGGAGCTTTTGGGCAGGTGTATGTCTGTCTGTCCGACCCTCTTTCTTTTTAGTCTGAGGAATGAGTGTGACAGATGGGATTTGCCCAACAGTTGGATTGTGTGCTCTTTTCTGAAAGAGGGGCATTCGGCACAAGTATGTTGAGCAAATGCCTTGGCTGTCTAAATACCACCCTGAAACTCACCTGCAGCCCCTGTTACTGAGCTGTAAGGGAGGGGGCATTCTTTTAATCCCAGCACTCTGGAGGCAGAGGCAGATGGATTTCTGTGAGTTTAAAGTGAGGTTGGTCTACATAACTAGTTCCAAGTCAGCTAGGGCTATGTAGAGAGACCCTGTCTCAAAAAAAGCAAATCAAAACCAAGAATGAGTGAGTGACAAAGAAGCTGTCATTGTTGGTTCACAGACATTGTTAATGTCATAATTTGATTCTCCTGAGAACATCTGTATCCTATGAGGAAAGACAGCAAGCAGTGTGGAAGTGACCACAATAACCATTGGAAAAATCAGAAAAGCAGCTGTGCCTATGTGTCACAAGGTTCTTCTCTGCTTTGAGCAGTCTCGGCCAGCTCTGATACCATGTTTTCATGAAAGCCATAATCAGACATGGGGGTCCACACCTTCAGTCTCAGTACTCTGGAGGTCAGCAGCTGCAAAGCCAGTTGGAGACAAACCTGGGCTATACAGATTCTGTCTAAGGAAAAGGAGGAAAAACTAGATCTGACCCTGTTGTAGTTCAAACTCCAGGGTGGGTGAATCGCCTGACACCACCACATGGGAAAGACAGTAGACTGGGTCTGCCTAGTTGAAAATCTGAGCAAGGAGCTGGAGAGATGGCTCAGTGGTTAGGAGCACTGGTTGCTCTTCCAGAGGATCCTGGTTGAATTCCCAGCACCCACATGGTGATTCACAATCTTCTGTAACCCTAATCCTGGGGGGCTTGACTCCCTTTCCTGGCACCTCCTCTGGCACCAGGCCTACACTTAGTGCACAGACATGCAACACTTATATACATTAAATAATTTTTAAAAAGAAAAAGAAACTCTGAGTGAAATTGCTTAGGATGTCTTCCCCTGGACTGCAGGTTGTTTCTTTGGTTATACTGCATTCTCCCAAGAGAAGAAAGACTGATCTTTTATCGTTGCTGAGCATTTTTGGCTACGCTAGAAAATAGGTCATACCTTGAAGTCTCTGATTACTAAAAAGACTTTGTTGATTCACTCACACTGCTCAGTGTTAAGGGAACCCATTCAAACACAAGGTGACAGTCAGTGATTTCTTCACACCCTCCTTAAAAGTTTTCTAAAGCTAACTTTAAATTTACCACAAGTGCTAGCGGGCACCCGGAAGGAATCTGTGGACTCCAGGTCACTGCTGTCTGCAGACTCACTTTTATAGTTTCTAATTGTGTGAACTCTAGAAATATGTGACCTTCACATCTCCTAAGTGCCCTGACTCGGTGTGGAGTGCTGCAAATTACCACCTGAATCTGGCCGTGTTGAATTTAGAACAGTGAGTGTTTGTGAGCAGGGGCCGGTGGCAGGAGTAACATTTTAAGTATTTCCGTTATCACTTAAATTATGAACACTTATAGGTAGCAAGCCACAAGTCAGGGAAGTAAGCGTCTGCTTTCCAAATGGATCATGCACTCAGCGTTTAGCTGCATTTTCTTATGTAGTAAAATATTAATAATTTCTGAGTAGCCTTGCCATCTGGGTCGAACATAAATATTCCATTACTGCTTTATTTGAATGTGTGAAAATAAACTTGAATCATGGGACTCAATGGCTGTGTAACTTTTTCTTCTCTTTTTTTCTGTAGCATCAAAGCTAAGACAGATCTACCACATTTCCACCCCTGGGGACAGGCTTAAGGAGGCCAGGGTGGAGGTGACTGAACCAAGGCAGCTCTTGAAATTCTTGGTGTTTGCAGCATAGAAGCAGCTGGAATGGAAAGGGATGTGTCTACAAGGACTTCAAAGAAGTCTTGGTTCTTCCAGAAGCTGTTGCTGTAAAGTACATATACTTATATATTTATAAACAACAAACTGAAATTTCATCAGCATCGTCCAAGCCAAACTTTGTTTGAAATGCCTTTTATGTTGTTATAATAATGACAGTAATGGATTTTATAATTTGATATTTTTTAGCACAGTACCTTTCAATGCAGTTCTGGTTTTTGCCTCACCCCCATTCATTTTTGTCCTTCCAAGGCAAGCCAGATTCTCCTTATTTCTATCTGAACCCGCTCTGTACTTGAAGCTCACTGCCTATGGCCACTGAAGGACTGAACATTCACTGCCTGCCTCATTGGAGTGCACCCACTGCTGGACTCTCAGATCTTTGTGTGGGAAATGGGAATCATGTTGCAGGCCTGAAGTAGTAGCCCAGCTAGCTCATAGGAAGGAGGGTGATTACACAAAAGCATCTGGCCTCATTTTAAAATGCGCTGAGGGCCAGAGGTGTGGCTCAGTGCGCGAGTGCTTGCATAGCATGCTTGAGGGTCTGGACTTAGTCCCCAGTATTGCAGAGAGAGAAAAAAACAGCTAGTCAGATTAAAAATTCTTAGAAGAATATACAGCTTTGTCCAGCCAGCTAGCTGGCTGATTTCTAGACTCTCTAGGTCTCTCAGGCTGCTCATATGCCTACATCACTTTGTTTCTAGAAGGTTTTCAGACTTGGAGAACCGTCTTGTACATCTCTAGATTGTAGTACAATTGTGCTTTGCTCTGTCTGAGGTGGTGGTATTGATATTCCATCTGACAGCTGATATGTCTGTTCTGAACCCCCTTCAGTTCCTTCTGTTTAGTCTCACCATTAGGTAAATGCCTGAACTGTGGGTAGCAGTGGGACAGTGTACCACAGCAGAACTCATCAATGGCAGGCCTTTTATGGTCAGTAAGTCAGTGGGGTCTGCCTTGACTTTGTATACTGAGTACAGGAAATCAGATACCCAGAAGCTGGGGCCGGTGGTGTCTGGGGTCAGAGCAGTGGGACGACATTCTTGGTGGCCTGAGATGAAGGCAACATCTTTGTTTTTCCTAGCTGCAGTCCCCATTGACCAGGGTAGAGCAGGAGTCAGTCAAGACAAACTCCCCAGGCAATGGAGGTCAAGATGCTAATTACAGAGGCCTCGGCAACATAGTGACTGAGCTCAGCGCTGAAATCACTGAGACTTAGTTTTGTCTCCCAAATGCAGTCTCGCCCTCCTCCATTCTAATCATTTGTCAAATTTGTGAGGCTTAGAAACAAAATGAAAAATTGTGATGATTCACGTTATAATGTTCTTTCTGTATACAAACCCCCAATAAAACAGCTTTTCTATTGAATGGAGTCTGAGTTGTGTGATTTCTTCCTCAGTTTACTTACGTGTAGGTAGTTGAGCAACCAGAATTGGGGAGCAGAGCTGGCTTGCAGGCATGAAGTTTTGGGGCCAGCATAGCACAGTTCTATCACCTTCAGTTCTCTGTTGCTCCCTCCAGCCTTCTCTTTTTTTGCTTTTGTTTTTGATGGCGATGATCAAGCCTGGAGTGTCACACATGCTAGGCAAGGGCTGCATCATTGAACTAAATCTCTAGGCCCCCATATTAAGTTCTCTGATTATACTATGTGAGTTTTCTCCCCTTCCTCACCTAAGCTGCCTGCCTTTCTTATTTTTACCACCAGTTGGCTGACTCACCTATAAAATTAGTCAATATTTTATTCTATTTTTTCTTTCCAAGCTTGAGGATGTACAGAGCATGCCCTGGAGAGGACTTCCCATGCAAAAGTGTAATCAGGCCACAGGAAGTGAACACCAAAGCTTCAGACAGGAGGTACTCAGGTCGTTCATGCTATAGCCAGAAAGTTGCCCTCCAGTATTCCTGAGAAGCCGGTGGCACAATAGACGTCCTGGGTTTGATCCCTAACACCACATAAACTGGATATGGTTGTGCAGTGCCAGAATCTCAGCACTGGTGAGGTGGAAACTGAAGGGTCAAGTTCAGGGCCATTCGCAACTGATACTGAGTTCAAGTCTAGCCTAGGCTACATGTGACCTTGCCGTTAAAAAAAGCGGTCCACCTGATGATGTCGTTAAAGGTAAGGATTCCCTCTGAGCTTTTCTAGGATCGATAGGGACTACTGGCAAGGAGGTCAGCCTGCAGCCTGCAATCTGTGTGCTTCACGATACCCAATCATGGCCCTTGTTGTTGACGTGCTTAGCGATGCCAGTTCGTTTAGGAGATCACACACAGATCTTCAGAAGCAATAATTTCAGAACTTAGAAACCACTTTAGCCACAGAAAAATTGCTTCCTTCAACAAATACTGAGTACACGATGAGACATTTCTTCCTTGGGTGATATGTGTGTGCACACGTGTGAAATGAACTTCCAAGTTCATTCTTCCTTTCTGAAAAATCACGCACCAGGTGGAGGAAGAGTGGCCACCAGCAGCTGGGCAGCCTGGTGTGTGCTTGTCAGTGATGGAGGGGGACCTGGATACCCACCCTGAGAGCCAACTGGAGAGTAAAATCACCCACTGCATCACCTGAACAGATTCAGAGTCCCACACAATCAAAGACTAGAATCTAATGAGTCTGTTGCTCCCTGTAGATTTGTGCTTCTTTGTCCTAGAAGTGAGCATGTGAGCCAGAGCTCCTGAGAGCTCTGTCAGACAGGGATGCCTCTAGAGTACAACCCAGCAGCTCTTACACTTTCCCAGTCTTCGCAGGCTAAGGCTTAAAAAAAATCTTTCACTGTGGCCTTCCAACCTCATTTGCCTGGGGGATGTCACCATCAGCAGTTTAGGACCCATCTCAGTCCTCTGCTTTAAAATTATTTAGTTTTTTTGAGACAGGGTTTCTCTGTGTAGCCCTTGTCCTAGAACTCATAGTCCAGGCTGGTCTTGAACTCAGAGAACTGTTTGCCTCAGCCTCCTGACTGCTGGGAGTAAAGGTTTGTGTCACCACTGCCTTGCTTAAAGTTCATTTTATGTGTATGTGCATTTTCTCTGCATGTATGTCTGTGTACCACTTGTATGCCTGGTGCTCTTGGAAGTCAAAAGAGGGTGTTGGATCCAATCTCCTGGAACTGGAATGTGAGCCACCATATGGGTGCTGGGAATTGAACCTAGGTCCTCCAGAAGAGCAGTCAGTTCTCTTAACCACTGAGCCAGCCCTACTTCCCTTGGTTTAATAACGGAACAATTAGAGGTCATTGAGCTATGTGGGGATGGTGACTAACAGCTTTGCTGTTAAAATTGGCATCAAGATTTATTTCTCTTGGGTTGTGTTCTCTTTTCACTTTGACCATTTTTGTTTGAGTCTTGCTATATAGCTATCCTGGCTGGCCTGGTACTCTACCTGCCTCAGCCTCCCAAGTGGTTAGGGTGACACATGGGATTCATAACAGGTTCATTCAGTTGTCCAGTTAGTGTAACCGTAGACACTTCCCATTGCCAGTGCTCTTGGTAGAGACATTTGCCACAAAGGACTCCCTTTATTGGAAGATTCTGTGGGAAACAGTGTCTGCACATGCCTGGCATGAGTGTGTCACTGCTTCTGTCCTGATCCAGGTTTCCATTGAAGCCAAGCTGGAACGCGTTGGAACCAAAACTTTTGACAGACTTGGCCGCACACAAAAGAGAAGCCAGCTTCCACAAGTGCCATGCTCTCCCACCACCACCCCAGTGCTACAAGAGGAAGGACTTTTCTATGAAGGAGTAGCATGCATGTGGCCCTCAGATACTTGAGAGCTGAGATTGAGAAATGATGGAAGGTACTGAGCAATAGACCAACAAACTAATACAAACCCTTGAAAGTGGCAGATCTTGGCTGAAGCTCTGATGCCACTTGCAGCCTCTAGCTCCAAGCACAGGGTATCTTGGGACCTCACAGCTCTGGGTCTGGGATCTAGAGCTCCTATGGAGTGTCAGCATGCTCCTGCCCTGCCCTATGTGTACAGCCTATGACAGGAAGCCTATCCCACAGTCTTGCTAAACATCAGACGCCCCTTCACTCTGGCTAGAGCTCTAGGACAAGGGCTACACAGAGAAACCCTGTCTCAAAAAAAAAAAAAAAAAAAAAAAAATAATAATAATAATTTTAAAGCAGAGGACTGAGGTGGGTCCTAAACCGCTGATGGTGACATCCCCCAGACAAATGAGGTTGGAAGGCCACAGTGAAAGATTTTTTTTTTTTTTTAAGCCTTAGCCTACTTCAGCTTAAACCATTCATTTTCAGCATCTCAGGTGCTAAGTCAGTGATTTCTGTTTCCTTGTTTTTGTATTTATCTATCTTTGTAACTTGTTAAATTTTGTTGTTGTATTGAGATAGTACAACCCAGTTCTTCTTGGTTGTGAGACGAATGCTATCCAAGCCATGCCAGGGGGCTATCATTTCCACCCTTCTACATGTACCTTGATTGGAGACAGGGTCTCACTATGAAACCAGGTCAGTCACCAAGAGCCCAACAGGCCTGGAACTTGCTATATAAACCAGGCAGGCCTCACAGAGATCTGCTTGCCTCTGCCTCCTATGTGCTGGAATTAAAGGTGTGCACCTTGGACCCCAAAAGTCCTGTGCTGTCTTCTAGGTTTCCTGTCCAGGCCTGTGCCTGCAGAGGTTAGCTGCAAAGCAAGCAAGCCTCATTTTCCTTTGGTATTGTGTGTTGCTGCTCTTATCAGATCCTTGATGCTGATTGTGGCTACTTCTCAAACTGCTCCATGCTGACGATCCAGTTTGTCAAAGAAACTATATGGGGTTGGGGGGTGAGTGCCTGCCTAAAATGCATGAAGCCCTCAGTTCATCCCAGCAATGTGTAAGCCAGGTGAGGTGGTGCACTTAGGAGAGGGAGGCAAGAGGACCAGACATTCGTGGTCATCCTTGACTGTACACCAAGTTCAGGCCAGTCTGGGCTATCTAAGTCTGTTTCAAAAAACAAAAACAAACAAACAAAATGGGTTCAGAGAGATGGCTCAGTGGTTAAGAGCACTGGCTGCTCTTTCAGAGGGCCTGGCTCAATTCCAAGCACTAACATGGCGGCTCACAACTGTATGTAACTCCAGTTTAAGGGAATAATTTGATGATGCCCTCTTTTGACTTCTACAGGCATCAGGCACACAAGTGTCACAAAGACATCTATGTAGGCAAAACAGCCAAACATGTAAACACAACAATGTAGCTCATCATGATGGCACTGGCTATTACTGACACTTGGAAGTTTGAGGCAGAATTCTAAGCCTAAGGCTATCCTGGACCACATGGAGGTCTAGGTTTGCCTGGGCTGTAGAAGACTATTTCTAGCACATACAACCAAATAAGTGTGTGACAACAAAGCCAGGAGTGAGCATCAGTTTTGACTTTGCTTGTGCTGCTCGAGTGCAGAGGACCCCACTGAAGAGTCCTCACTCTAAAGGAAGTCTTGCAGTTCCCATTCTGCCCGATGACATAACTTTGTGTGCACACATAAGGACATTTCCAAGACCAAGGCCCATCACAGCACAGCAGGATGACAGCATTTCTTTTTAAAAGCCTTTTAAGTTTCTTTGTGTAGCTTCAACTGCCCTGGAACTTGCTCTGCAGACCGGACTGCCTCAAAGTCACAGAGATCTGCCTGCCCCTGCCTCCCAAATGAAAGCTTTTCTTGACTTAAGTACATAGCTGAAGCTGGTGACTGACTAGCATCTCCAGAGCCTTCGATAGTGTGCCAGTGTGTAAGTTATCAGGTCTATCAAACACATCTTTTCCTATAGAAGGTGAGAGTATCTTTCTGGTTGGAATGAGGTGGTAGGTGAGGGGTTTTCTGTTTATTTTCTCTGAACCAATTGCCAATTCTGTTTTCTAAAAAAAAAAAAAAAAAAAAAAAAAAAAAAGGCTTTATGTGATCAGCCAGAGTGTCAAACCTCTTTACTTGACCCTCTTTAGGAGGGCCGCTGTGCCAATGCAGCTGGTGGGCAATGGTATTCTTGGCAAAAGATCTTGTTTGTGAAGGGGCATCTTTCCCCTCTGGGCTTCAGAAGGGCAGCAGCTGTAGGAAAGCCTGCCTTTGCTCCTAACAGTCCTACCGAAAAAGCAATGTTATCACTCCAGCAGCTCAAGCAGCAGTGAAGTGCTCAGATTCTGAGGATGGTCACTAACTCGTTCACAGACAGACTCCCATCCTCTTTAAGTTCCCAGCCCAACCACTTTTTAGGGACTCATTTGCATTTGAGCATAGTGTGTGGGTTACTGGATATCAAACCCAGATCCCTATACTTGCTAGAGCAGGTACTCTACCACTGAACCACACACCCAGCCCAGAGGCGGTGTTTTGTAACCATCACTCTGTAAATTCTTTTTCTAGTAAGCTTGGTTAACTGCTCTCAGCAAGTCACTGTCAGATAAGTGCCATGTGGCCAGATCGTTAGTTACATAATAAATGGCAGTTAAGTCCTTCCCGGGCACGTTCCTCATCCAGGCCTGAACCTCTATGTACCTAAGAGGATGCCTGGATGCCTGGAGCTAGTTTTAAGCTGTGTGGATTGCAGACACACCCATTTGTAAAGGATACAGGCCATTTATCTTTTTGACCCAACTAAAATCAATTAATTCCCTAGCCATCCTATAAGCAGAAGAAACATTAAAATATTACTAAGATTTTTTTCTTCAAAGCTATAGTAGTGATGTGAAGAGCTCACTAAAAATGGCACATATATTCAATGATCTTTCCTCAAAGGACAGAGAAGGCAATCCTTTCAATCACATGACTTCTGGCATCTTTGCTTTGTCATACTGTGACAGAAAATAATCTCTTACTGGATAGCAGCTTATTTCCTCCCTAACTAGATGGGAACTAAGCATAACCCTGGCACATTTACACATTTATCCCATGACACATCCCATGGCTGGACACAACAGAAATAACTGTGATCCACACTGTCTATTCCCAAAATTAGGAAAACTAAAACATCAATGCAGTGTCCCAGGGTTAGGTAACACTGCTCGATGACAGAAAACTCAACTAGCATGCATGATGCCATTTTGACTCCAAATACCTCAAATTTTGAGTTCAAATGTTTCTTTCTAGAGGCAGGGTCTATGTGTAGTTCCTGCCTTGACCTCCCAAATACTGAGCTACAGACATGAACTATACCACATGTATTACACCCATGTTCTTTTAAAATCTTTGCATTAGCTGTGTCCATGAGTGCTGGTGCCCTTGGGTCAGAAAGCTGCAGGTCCCCTGGAGTTATAGGTGAGCTACTCGATGAGGGTGCTGGGAACGGAACTCAAGTCCTTTCCAAGAGCAGTGTGTGATCTCAGCACTGTACCACCTCTCCAGCCTCCAGTGTACTCCTATGACTAGTCAATAGGAACTAGGTGTAGAGCTCTTTGGTATAGTGCTTGCCTGGTACTCACAAAGTCCTTGGTTCAATTCTCAGTTCCATCAAAAAATAATACAAAGCAGACCACTCATAATCAGCTCCACTCTCAGCTTTTGTTACTTCCCACCTATTAGTTTTAGATCAGGCCTCAGACCTTAAATTACATTGTTGTGTTTGTGTATGAGAACATGGGCCAAGCTGTGGTTAGAGGTCAGAGGACCACTTGTGGAAGTCAGTTCTCTACTTCCATGGGATGCCTGAGATCTGACTCTGGCTTGGCGTCAGGTACCTTCACTTGCTCACAGAGATGAGTCAACCTCGGAAAATTAATTACATTAATGGAACCATATTGTTGTGAAGGGGGCTAGGCTTGAGGAGGTCCAGATTCAAGGATATTTCCTAGGAGAGGGCAAACAAGTTTATTGAGAAATTGATCCTTTATATACAGACCAGAGAAGTTTCTATATCCATACTTCTTGACATGGGGTATGTGTGTGAAGGTGGAAAACCTTCCGACTGGACAGTCTCTGTAATTCTTTGTCAGTATTTCTCCAAAAGTGAAATTCCCCTGAATATTCCTTAATGGTTCCAGGGTCACACCTCCAAAGGCAGATCATTTCCAGCTGGTTGACTCCAAGTGAGACACCTCATCTCTGTGTACTTAGTTCCTTGACTTATAATGAAACTTGAAGTTAGCTGGGCAGTAGTGACAGACACTTGGGAGGCAGAGGCAGGTGAATCTCTGTGAGTTGTAAGTCAGCCTAGTCTACAGAGCCAGTTCCAGAACAGGCTCCAAAGCTACAGAGAAACTCTGTCTTGAAAAACAAAAAACAAACACCAAAACAACCAAATAAAGAAATTTAAATGCAAGGAACAGTACTAGTGGGCTGCTTTTTGCCAGCCATTACTGAGGAACTGCATCACAAGTGCATCTAAGCTCAGTATCAGTTCTAGCTTCTTGCCATATAAATGTATCTAGAAGTAAAAATGAACATTTTGTATGGTAAAAACTTATTAGCTGGGCCATGATGGCACATGCCTTTGATCCCAGCACTTGGGAGGCAGAGGCAGGCAGTTCTCTGTGAGTTCGAGGCCAGCCTGGTCTATAGAGCAAGTTCCAGGAGAAGCTCCAAAGCTACACAGAGATAACCTATCCCAAAAGACCAAAGCTAAAAAAGAAAGAATAAATCCAGTGCTGACACAGTTATCAAGGATGGTGTTTAGCTAAATAGGAGAGTCCCTCACAGGTATTGCTTATTTACTATCTGGGTCACTGGAGAGAAATAAATTGTTTTAGATCTAAATGGAAGAGGTATCACGCTTGGGACTCACTATGTAGACCAGGCTCAAACCCATCTCCCTAGCCTCCCAAGGGTATGTGCCACCATGCTCTGCTTAAATAGTTTTTTCTTTGGGGGGGGGTATTAATTATGTATGTGTCTGTGTATGTGAGTGCTAGTGTCTAAGGAGATCAGAAACTTTGGATCCTCCTGGAGTTACAAGGAGCTGTGGGTGTAGGAAAATGAGCTTGGGTTCTTGTAGAGACAGTAGATGCTATTAACCACTGAACCATCTCTTCAGCCCCTCAGAGTAATACTTCTGAAGGGAGGTATCAGTGCTTATCCATCCCAGTTTTGCTGGGTCATTCTGCAACCCAATTTTCCAACAGAGAGGCTACCAGAGCACAGCTCTAGAAGATATGGATGACAAGAAACTCAGGCTCACTGCTATAGCTGTTTCAACTACTAGAGAGACTACACAAGTGGTTCAACAGAATTTACTTGTATATTTTCCATTTTCTATACTATTTGAAGGCATAGGATAGCTTTGTATTAGCTTTCTACAATACTGTGTTTTAAATCTATCCAGTAAACTAAGATGCAGTACAACTTGTATACAACTGAGGAGGTCAGAAGCAACTCGGCAGGCCCTGGTGCTGAACAGTTCCAGAATAAACAGGTAGCGCACAGCTGCATTAAAAGGTAGTTTGCAAATATTCAAGTTACACCAAGATTCCTTCCAAATCTCTACCTTGCTGAAACCAACACAACCGGCCATTGCTAATACTGCGGCACGGCGTCTGGTAAAGGGTGATGGTTTTACTTTCTTCTTAATCAAAAGCCTGTGAAGGTGCTGCCACACAACAATCAGCTCTGCTCGTGGCCGAGGTGCCAATTGTGAAATCACAACAGGTACAGTTTAACATGAGAAACACACGTTAACAAGTGGCCCAAATACAGAGCTGGACAGAATTAGACCAGTAAGTCTGTAATTACTCAACTGAACTAACATAAGTACATTCAAAATAAAGCCGGAGATCAGAATTGGTTTTAGACTCAAATTTGCAGACTTTCTTGATAAAATAGAAGTATGATCTTCTGCAGTTGGAAATGAAGCTCTCGACTGGCGGAGAGCTAGAGACTTCTCAGTCCCTCCTGCACAGATAAGGAAATAAGTGACAAAGTCTCTTGCACTGAAGTTATGTATTTTAACAGCTTTACATGTAATATTCATATATAAAAAACTTTAAGTGCTTTTCTCCAATTTAAAAATCTAAAGAATTCAAAAATAAGGCATTCAATATTTGAAAAAAGTACAGATTTACAAAATGTGTATATTCTGTCATGAAAACTCCACACCAACATTATACACTTGGAAAAAAATACAAACAGGATATATTACAAATTTATGCAGCAATAACTTAGTTCACACCATGCAATAAAAAGTACATTAATCAAGATACACAAGCTTTTGTAGGTTCTAAACTGAAGGACTTTTTCTTTTTTCTCTGCAGAATCCTTAAAACCCGTGGCACTTAAAACTTGCTAGCCTTTCTACTGGGAGGTAAATTATACACAACAATAATGAAAAGATGAACAGACCAGGTGTCTATTATGAATCATTCCAACTCTGCTCAACAATGGCCGAAACTCTCTTCTCATATTCCCGTTTATTTTCCTGATAAAGCTGTGCTGCTTGGCTATTTGCTGGACTGTTTGGATTCGGTTCATCCAACAGAGACTAGAAGAGAGAAGGAAAATGCTTTTCAGTTATATGTCTATTAATAGGACTCAGATGAGGACAAAAAAATTACTCAAAAGGACAGAATTCGAAGTTCCCATGTCATGTTTTAGGTCTCAAAATCTTCAAAAATGGCATGAAACAGGTTTCTGCTGTTAAAGAACATAAGCTTCCAAAACAATTCCCAGTTGCCTTGAGACCTCCCACTTCAAGGATATCAGCCTTCATTAGAATATTAGAACTTCCTCACTAGGAAATAAACAGTTTAACTTGGTTAGGCTCTAACACCTGTAAATATCTCAGTAGCTGTTATTTTCATTTAGTTTTTTTACTGTTACTGTCATTTTTTTGGAGGTGCTCAGGTCTCCAGCATGCTAGTTAAGTGCTGTAAGGAGTATGGGTTTTTCGCCCGCCACCGCTGGTCTTGTCCTGCTCTTGTTCCACCGCCATGCCAGCCCCAAATAATGCACAGAGACTCTGTATTTGATACAATACTGTTGGCCCGGTTACTTGTTTCTTAAAGGCTCTGCCTTTAATTATTAACCCATTTCTGCTGATCTATGTATTTTCACATGGCCTTCTCTTACCGGGGAGGCGGCTGGCGTCCAGCTCCCTCCTGACTCTCCATCTTGACTCCTCCTTACTACTTCCTATTTCCTCCTTGTCTCCTAGTCCCTCCTATCTTCCTTTCCTATTGGCCAACAGTGCTTTATTATTAACCAGTATGAGAAACATGTACAGAATGACATCTCCCATCAAAGTGCTTTACTCCTAAGCACACCCCCAGGCCTAAACATTATTGAGGTTTACCCTGCAAATCTGTAGGCAAACCTTGCTCCTTTGATAAATAAAATACCTCTATGTTTAGCAGGGAGGGAATAAAATAGTAAAGTTGACCAAAGCGGGAAGAGAAGAGCGGGAAGCAACCTAAGGACAATGGTTGCTCTTCTATGTAGGTATATTCTATGTGGAATATATCTTTAAATACATGGAACATGGAAACTGGAATGGACTATGGCAGCAGTGGAGTGGGTGCTCTATGGGGGGGAGGAGGAAACTACACACAAGGATGGGACAGATGGACAAAGGAGAAGCAGGAAGACAGGTAGTGGGGAAACAGGTATGAACAGGAACAATGACACAGTATGAAACATGATGTTCTCTAGAGATGAGCCAAACCAACAGTAGAGTAAAAGGTTCATAAAGATGGACATAAATTTTGCTCCCCTCTAGTCAGCACAGCCCCACAGCCTGCCCATTCCTGGCAAACTGTTACTGCCCCTCTTTACAGACTTTCCTGGATGAGACATGGCAGTGGCTAGAGGCCCCTGTGGGTTTCTAAGCAATATTAACTTCTCATTAAACTAGGTCTGACCCATGAGAACGTGTAGCACAGGACTAACAAGTTGTGACTAGATATGGTGACAGGAGGATCAGAGGTTTAAAGTCACCCATGGGACAGCCTAGGGAACAATAGACACCACCACCAGAGGAAACAAGTTTGTGGATTAGACCTTATATGTCAACTAACACTAAGTGAAGACCAGCCCAGGGTTCCTGTCTGAGTGCTGCATTAGCTCCTAGGCAATGGCTGGCAGTTTGCTTCCTTGGTCTTTAGACTGCTCGAAGTAACTGGTGAGGACCCACAGAATTTGGAGTTGTGATGCTTCTGAACACACACATACCTGAATTGAAGTTAAGATGGAAGAGACATCATATGTGGGACTCCATCGATTCTGCAGGATATCTAAACATATGCTACCATCAGCATACACTGTAAAGACAACACTGAAGTTAGTCACCAGCACTTCACAACCTAGTTAAGAGAACATGTCAGCACACAATACCTGACCAAGTCAGATTTCTTAATGTCAGGCAGTAACTAAACTTTCCATCTCATAGGGAAACTTGTTCTACAAAGTCATGTCAGTCTCACTTCACAAGGCCGAGGGGGGAGATTTTCCAAAGCACAACATACATTAATCACTCCATTTTGGGTCCAAGGTTGTAGTTCAGTGGTAGAATGCCTGTTTCACATGTGTACAGCACTTCCCAGCAACCACACAAAACTACCCCAACCTTCTTAAGTCTCAAACAGAGTTTTTTTTTTTTTTTCTTCAAACAGAACTCTTAAAAAACCCCACTCCTGGAGATTATTCTCAGAAGAGTATCAAATCAAAAACATGTATTTGTAGGATGTTTACAATGACATAATCTATTAGAGAAAAACAGTAAACTCCCTTGTGGCTCAAAAAAAAAAAAAAAAAAAAAATTCTGGCTAAACAGCAGCACACTCCTGCTGGGAGGTACAGGTGCAGCATTTAGACTCAGGGACAAAAACTGGGTAGTATAGTCATCATAAATGGCATTTAGCTATTGTGTTTCTCATGAAAAAAAAAAAAAAAGGTTTTTGTTTATACACATGTTCTTACTATGTAGCTCTGGTTAGCCTGTAATTATGTAAACCGGCTTGCCCTTGCCTAAAAAAGTTTAACAATGACATACAACAGTTGCATATTTTTGTTTTTTTAAAAAGTATGTAAGTACCTTCACTTTTAGTAAATGAATTAACAAATATTTGCAAAATTATGTCAAAATATCAGCAGCTAAGACTGAAGCTGACCTTTACCCTTCTTAGTAATATCCCCAACCCCAACCTCTGGTAACACACAAGTGGAAGAAAAAGGCAAGGAAGTTAACATGCACTGAAACTTTCACTACCTGGAACTCACTTTCTACCCTCTTAGGCCAATGTTACAAATATTGCCAATGTACTCTTCTAGAGTCTCGTAGCCCAGGCCTGCTATGGAGCATAGAACAGCACTGAGCTTCTGATCCTCCTGCCTCTCTCTACCTCCCAAGTGTTGGGCTTATAAACATGCTGCTTATAATCACGCTCCTCTACTCCTGGCAATATTGCCAAACTGGAAAACCCAGAAACATGATATCCTCCATAGCAACAGGGTTAAGGAGTGTGAGGTGAGTATGAGAGAGAGAGAGAGAGAGAGAGCGCAAGCGAGAGCGCTCATGCATGCACACACGCATGTCTTTGCTCAGGCCACCATCCTAGGGTTTCTCTTCTTTCTATCCCCATTATTCATCTCTGGGCAACAGTATCTACACTACCTTGCTCTCTGCTCTCTGGGTGCTCAGTATTACTAACAGTTAACCTCAGTCCAGATCTTTTGGCCTGAAAATAGAAGTCAGTCACTTCTCATCTGTCTTAGAATCAAATGTCACACCCCAAGCCAAAAAATAAAAATGTCCATCAATTGATCAAGAGGTAAACAGAAGCTATCTAGTTAATAAAATATTATTCAAGCAATAGAGACAAAGAACAGCTACAAAGATGGAGATGCAATTCAACTACAACAGACAAATCAAAAGGTTCATGTAGGTGAAAGTCAGTAAGGGCCATGTGCTAAAGAATCCATTAACACAAAATGTCCAGACTGTTATCTCACAAAAGAAAGGGAAATTGGCCATTGTGATGGTTTTACTGTGTCTGTGACTATACCAAAACTCCACTAAATTGTGTAATTAAAATGGACAAGTAGGCCAGATGTGGTGGTGCATGCCTTTAGTTCCAACACTCGGGAAGCAGAGGCATGTGGATTCTGAATTCAAGGCCAGCCTGGTCTACAAAGCAAGTTCCAGGACAACCATGGCTACACAAGAGAAATCCTAGAAATAAAATGAAGAATTAGAATGGTACACACACTTGTATGTATGTATGTACGTACGAATGTACCAACCCAGGATTGAGGATGTAGTCCAGTGTGTAGAATGTTTGCCTATTGTGTAAACTTTGAGTTTGATTCCCTAGTGTCACATAAACTGGTGTGGTGGCATCTGGACATAGAGACGAAACCAGGAGATCCTGAGATCAAGGTCATCCTTGAATATACATCAAAATGAAAGCTAGCCTGACTATATGAGCTTTTTACTCATTGAGTGTGCACACATGTACATGGGTGCTCAAGTAACATGTATAGAGGTCAGAGGACTATCTATAGGAATTGGTTCTATCATGGGAGTCTTGAGGATTGAACTCAGACTGTCAGACTTGATGGCAAGGCACCTTTACCTTCTGAGCCATTTTCAAGACCCTAAAATCTGTATTTTTATTTTGGAAGACAGAGTCTCATCAAATCCAGGCTGGCTTTGAAGTTGCTAAGTAGCTGAGAATGACCTTAAACTCCTGATTGCCCACCGTCTGGCTCAAATGTGGTTTATAAAAGCCAAATTTCAGGTGAAATTTTTATTAAGCAAATGGATGTTTATGACTTTTAATTCAGATGTTATTACAATTACTTTACCTCACACATGTAACCAGTATCTGAAGATAGGCCAAACTGTAAGAATAAGACACATCCAAGGGAAGGGACAAAGCCTCCCATGAACTCATCCCATTACTGACAAAACCTAAGAAGTTGTCACTTACCATTTGGATGAAACATTTTGGATAAGAACCTAACGGTTGGTGGTTTATTTGGATATTCTTCAGAAAATTCTATTACTAGTTTAAAAGTACCTAGGTAGAAAACAAACCAAATCACAGTAAGACAAACATTACTTTTAAACATCTTCATCAAATAATTCTTAATTTCCTATCAGATTTCGCATAACCACACATTAGCCAGAGAACTCTGGTTTAGCATATAAAATATCTAACATACTTCTGTGTTAGACTGTGGACAAGTGAGGCTGGCAAGTACTTGGAGGACAAGTACTTTTCATGGGCTACTACACAAGTGTAGAAGCGGTAATAGTCATATCTGGCTGACTAAGGTGTATGATTTATGTGTGCAGATGGGCATCACACCAGGGTTTGTGTGTGGAGGCCAGAAGTCAACTTTGTTTTGAAGTTAGTTCGTTCCTCCTACCTTCACCAGAGTTCTGGGAGTCAAACTTAGGTTGTCAGGATTTGTGAGGCAAGTTCCTTTATCCATTGAGCTATCTCATCAGTCCTGAATCATTTTTTGAAAGGTAACTGGGCCCTAACTACTAAAATTATTAAGTTTTGTTTTGTTTTTGACAGCTTAAAAGGAGGGTGCTCCCCCCCCAAAGTCACTAATGGACTAGGGTAGCTTAGTGAAAAAGCACTTAGTTGACATGCCTGAGGTATGTTGCCCAACACAAGGAATGGGGAGGGGGCGCTTAAAAAAAAAAAAAGGGTGCCAATGGATTCTAAGAGAGCTGACTACCACCTGGCAAAGGGCCTGGTTGCTGATGGGAAAGGTAGGTCTGTCTCCTTCATTTGAACATGCTAAAAAACAAATTGGATAGTTTACATGTTTACTCATCATAGATTTGGAACACAATCTCCATTTCATTTCTTTTTGTTGTTGCTATTGGTTGGAAATTTGGGTTAGAGGCTAAAGATAGAAGCCAAACAAAGCTAAGTCCTATTTCGTGTGTGTGTGTGTGTGTGTGTGTGTGTGTGTGTGTGTGTGTGTGTGTGTGTAAATAAATAAAGAGGTAACTGAGACCGTGAAGTTAGCCTTAACTACTATGCTGAGGACCAAACCCAGGGCCTCATATATATCTCAAGTATACACTCTTCGCTGACCTACACTTCCAGCCCTTACATATTTCAAGTTTACATTTTCATTTCTGCAATTATAAAAACAGCTAGACCATATACTATTTTAAGCAAAAGTATGTGATAGTTAAGCTTTTTGGTCTCAGAACCACTTAGGGTATTAATCTCACTATGGGCAAGAAGTAGATTCATGAAACTGAGGTGTACAGAACAGCAGTTACACCGTAATTTACCATGGTAACAGACATAAGAACTCCAACAGTCAGATAGTACCAAGTGGCAGAACAATCAGAAAACAATTTTGTGGTTCAATCATTACCACTTTCTGATTTCCAAAATGTTAGTTTTTTTGAGGTAGGGTTTTTCTGTGTAACAGCCCTGGCTGTCTTGGAACTCGATGCTGCAGACCAGTTTGGCCTTAAACTCACAGAGATCCACCTGCCTCTGCCTCCTGAGCACTGGGATTAAAGGCATGTTCCACCCTCGCCCAGCTAAAATGTTTTTAAAAGCAACATTTAATTAAAATAGTGGCTGCAAAAATCTCAGATTTAAACAACCAGCTCTTGTGTTTCTGCATAGATAGCCTCCGATAAGCTGTTGGTGATACCTACTGGTACCTGCTGTAGAAATTATGACTTGACAGCTGGGAACATAGCTCAGTGGTAGCACACTTGCCTAGTGAGCAGGTACAAGGCCTGGGGTAGGGTGCATAGGAAATATTGTAATTTTGGCTACTCAGGCAGCTGAGACAAGAGGATCTAAAGTTCTAAGACAGCCTGAGCAACTCTGCAGTACCTTGTATCAAAGTGGGAAGAGGTTGGAGCAATGTGGGCTGAGTGAAGAGAGCTAGCACACAGTGTCATTCTCCAGCTACTAAAGCAGAGTAACTGAGCCGCTGGAAGGTAGAAGGAGGTGAGTTCAAGGCCAGACTGGTCTATAAAGTGAGAGCTAGTATGAGTGAGACATGTTAAATAACCTACCTAAATAAAGACATACTAGCAACAGGCACACCACTATTCATTTTTACAATTCTCTTTAAGGTTTAACAAAGACAGCTGGGTTCTTTTATCTATATGCAATCTATTGCAATACGTTGTTTGGTTGAGGTATCGTACATGAAGAAAATCTGGCCTCACACAATATGTAACTAAAAAATTGTATAGCCCTATTAGACAACTGGACTGGTTTGATATTGCACAAGATTTTTTTCTAAAGGTTTGTTACAATGGCACATCTAAAATCTTATCAATAAATTTTCTGTACTCAATTACATTAAACTCTGCTGTACTTTGGCTAGTTTTTGTTTTGCTTTAGTCATTCTTTGACAATGCTAGAGACTAGACCCAAGGCCATGCCGGGCACACTCTCCACCACCCAGTTACTTCTCTAGGCCTGTCAGTCACTCTTTCAAGTAAACATGTTCCATGAAAAAGCCAGCAGCCCAAGCTGTAACTGACTCAACTGCAGAAGTATTTTTGTTATGTCCCTTCATCACGCACAACATTAAGGATCAGACTGAGAGGTCCAAATTTAATGACTATAGCAATTTCAACTGTTGCCAAGACATTTTAACATGCAAGGAACACAGCGACCCTTAGTATAGTATGGGTAGAAATCTCAACTTATCCTTAAATGCCCAACTACCTAGGTACAGGTCTAGCTTAGACTGTTTCTATATCAGCAATGCAAAGGTCAACAAGCACTGGTATCAAGACAGCTGGTCACAGTCTCCTGAAAGGGGACTCAGACACCCTAATGGGCTTGTGGATTCAACATAACCAAGAAGTCCTGAGATAGCAAAAAAAAAAAAAATAAAATAAAATAAAATAAAGCCTGCTATAGTCATCCAGGACCTCCTTGGAGTCCTTATACCCACATATTTAGTAAGAAAGGATAATCCTAGCACTCAGAGGGCAGAGGCAGGAAGATTTTCTGAGTTCAGGCCAACAGAAGGGGCTACAGTGAAATCCATCTCAAATACAAATCTAGATTCTTCTACAGTGAATTGGCCTTATTATTCTTCAATAATATTCCAGAGTCCAAGTACATTATCACTTGCTTAGTAGACTTTCAGGTTATCCCTGGACAAATAGTGCACAGTCATTATTGCCAAATGTGTTAATAAATTCTGAAGTCATTTTGATAATTACGGCAAAGCTGTTTAATTTTTAAAAATCCTCTATAATTAGGGAAAATCTTTAAGTACCTGTTTAAAATCAATTTAATAAATCTGTGATTACAGATTAAAACCAGTCTCCCATTTTCCTGGCTCCTACACATATACCCAACTTGAGATGCAAATTACTGCAGTATGCTTTGGGTGCTACAGGCTAAGCAGTGAAGCTACTGGCAGCCACGGATTCAAGACTCAGGGAGCTTAACAGCAGAGTGCTTGCTTGCAACACACAAAGCTCCAGGTTTGATCCCTAGCACTAGGGAAAAAAGACAAAATGAAAAGTTTTTATCACAAAACCGTAATCAATGCAGATAACAAAGTAGAAAATTACAATTACCCTCTTGGTATTACCTCAGGAACACCTGTCCAATATAAACTATCCGTAACACAGACCCACTACCTAGTCCTATAGTGTTACAGGCAACTCATGTTACATAGGAAACTGGTGACAGAGGTGTTCAAGCTGATTTGTAGAAAAAGATCCTTGTCTATTATAAATTTTCATTAGCCTGCTTAACATTCCTAGAGTTCATTAAGAGTAAAATCTGATTTCAAATAGGTGTGTTGGTATTCAAATCTGACGTAAAAGCACCCTTCTAATATCATATAGAAAATAATGAAGTGTTACTCACCATCTTCAAAGGGTGTCCCTTCTGGTCTGAAAACAAGAAGATTACTGATTAAAAGCAAATTTTTACTGTTTTTTCTGTCTTCAAGGAGGGAAAGGATAAACTGAGAAACGAGAAAAGACTGCAGATATTCAGCTACCAGGAGAGGTATACAAACACCATCACTTAGGCCAACATACAGTCTTAGCTTTTTCCTGACAGAGCAGAAATGACTTTTAAAGTTTAAGTTTTTCTCCCCACCAAAGGATAATTTTACTCAACAAAATTGTCTATGATTTTGATGCAAAAAAGAATACAATGCAGCTGGATGATTGAGGCACACACCTTTAATCAGAGAGATACATGGGTCTCTGAGTTTGAGGCCAGCCTGGTTTAAGAAGTAAGTTCCAGGACAGCTGGGACTACATAAAGAAACTATCTCAAAAAAACCAAAACCCAATACAACAGTATACAGGTGGACATGGTGCCACACACTTGTAATCCCAGATAATCAAGAGACTGAAGCAGGAGGATGTCAAGTTTGAGGCCTGCCTGGCATACACAGTGAGTACGAGACCAGCCTGGGCAACCTGGCAAGACCCTGTCTCAAACTAGAATTTTCTGTGCCATACAGACATACAGGAAAAAAAAAAAGGGGGGGGGGGTATCATATCCCAGGCTGGCCTGACCCTGCACCAATCCCCCTGCCTCAGATTCCTGAGTGCTAGGGTTTATAAGCATGAGCCAGTACACCTCACTATTTTGATTTTCTTGAGACAAGTTGGCTTTTGATTTGTGATCCTTCTGCCTCAGCCTTCCAAGCTGACAGATATGACTGAGCCCAGGGCTTCAGGAGGGCGGAGCAAGCACTCCACCTACTGAGTCACACTCCCAGTCTCCCATAGACTCTTCTAAGATGGCTCAGTAGTTCAGAGTATTTGAAACTCCTACAGGACTTTGGTTCCCAGCACCCATATCAGGCAGCCCACAACTTTTAACTACAGCTTCAGGAAATCTAACTCTCCCACCCCAACCTGCCCATCTTCCACTGGCACCTGCTCTCTTGTCATGACACTCCCTTCAAACCCAGGTAATTTAATCAATTACCTGATGACTGGAAAATCATTCCAACTGTAGTGGCAAATTCCCACAATTCCACACATCACCAGACACACACAATCAAAAATTAAGTTTTAAATCAAAAAGGATATGTAGGAAGAAGGTTCAGCAAGTAAGAGTGCTTGCCATGCTAAACCTGTAACCCAATGATAGAGGGGGGAGAAGTGACCTAACAGTTGCCACCTTACCTTTACATTGAGTGCTGTGGGCTAGAGTGTACACTGTACTGCTATGAGTACAGTACAGTCATACACATACACACAAAGAAATGATGATAATAATAAACAAGAATTTAAGGAAGTATTAAGTATGGTGGCTCATTTCTGTGATCCCAGCACTGGGGAGATTGAGGCAAGAGAATCCTAAGAACAATCTAGGAAATTTGTGGAGACCTTTTTGCATTTTTGTCTTGGACACCTTAGTCACCAACTGCTGAATCAAAGGGTTGCACCCCAACCCTTGTTGACAGTCCAACTCAAAATAAATTTTTAAAGGGGCTGAGTGTAGCTTGGTGACGAAGCATTTGCCTACAATGTATAAAGTACACCAGTTCAATCCTACCATCAAGCAAAGTAAACTACTTCTGAAACATTTCCTCTCAACATATAGATGATTTTTAGCTGAAATTCTTTTCACAGCAAAATTCTCAGTATTTTGGTTCCAAGCCTTTGTACAGTTCCCTGCATGGCACATTTTGCATGAGCTAATTCATTTCCTCTCCTTTATCACTCCATTTAATTTAAAATAAGTACTTATTTTTGGTGTTGGGGATCAAACCAGGGGCCATATGCATGGTAGACAAGCCTTCTACCACTCAGGTTCACTCAAAGCTTTTGAACCCTCATTTCACCAGTTTCCTGGAGTGGCTGTAAAACCATACTATAGCCAGCAAGGTACAGTGCCATACTCCCACAATCCCTGCTCCTTGATGGCCTAAAGCAAGAGGATCACTGCAACCCAGTTCAAAATTAACCTGGGCAACATTTCAACACCCTGGCTCAAGTGAAAGAAAACCAAATAAAACTATATATAAAATAGCAAGGAGCAAACCAATTTTCTGTAACTGTCCCAGACTCTAAAATGTTCCAGGGGTTGGGTGTACATCTTAGTTGGTGGAATACCGGTCAGCAGGCACACATGGGGCCCTGGGTTCAATACCAGCTTCTCAAAAGAAGTGGTACCCACCCCCACCCCACCGCACCCAGTGAGTTTCAGATTCTACCTCAGCCTCTACCTTAGTGCTTATGTACTTACTTTCTTTACAGAGTCCCCACACACCTATCATGCGGTAACTATTTCAACTCACCCAAATATAACTGCGTTCCACTGCATGATGTTGTTTTCAGATGGTGCACCACTGACCCCCACAGGTGGGTCCTCTTGCAATCTAGAAATCCAGAGCAGTTATTTTCAGAGTTAAACATAAAGGTCACCAAGGTCAAAGTCTATTGAACCTACTCTGAGAGACTGGCTAGATTGACTTTCTTATTATTGTTGGAGCCAGAATGAACCACAACTTAAATAAATCAACCAGGTTAATACACTTATTAATGGTACAAGTGATCTGTAAGCCCAAAAGGCTAAGAGATCATCCCTCTTCAAACAACAAGATTTAAGATGTGGTCTCTTGAAGAAGAACCCGTTTCCAGACTGCAAAGGGTTACAGTCTTAGCAGTAAAAACTACTGCTAGTCAACCAGCAGCTTATGCTGGGTGGTGGTGGCACATGCCTTTATAAACCTAGCTCTCAGGAGGTAGAGGCAGGTGAATTCAAGGACAGCAAGAGCTACATAGAGAAACCCTGTCTCCAAAAACAAAAACAAGCTGAGCAATGGTGACAAATGCCTTTGATCCCAGCACTTGACAGGGGCAGGCTGATCTTTGTGAGTTCAAGACCAGCCTGGTCTACAGAGGTAGTGCCAGGACAGGATCCAAAGCTACACAGAGAAACCTTGTCTTGAAAAACAAACAAACAAAAAAGAAACCTTGTCTCTAAAAACAAACAGAAACCAAACCAAAAAGAGAGAACCTGCAACTTTCCTACCTTAATCATGCAAGGATCACCAGTCCTAACCACAGACAATGCACAACACAAAATCGTAGTCAATCTCTGTATACTCTAAATGACTAAACCCACATTCAATTTAACTAGAAAGCAAGTTTTACTTCATGCCGTGTGCTTCAGACAGTGGCTTTCTAAAGTAGCCGGAAGTTCCGGCTAGCTTTCCCAGCAGCCTATTTTAGAGACTGTTCAAAGGCCAAATCTACCTCAGACCAGGAGACTTCACAAAGCTTCCAAAGACGTCATCATTAAATTCTTGTAACCTGAAATCCTTGGAAAACCACCAACTCAGAATCAAGTAGATAGCAATGGACGTAACTGAGAAGTTTTATTTGTGTTTCAGTCACGGAGCTAATCAAATATAGTGACTTCAAGCCCTGGGTGACTTTTGCACCAAAAAAGGGCATCCTTCTTTGTCAGATTAAAAAAACAAAACCTCTCCATTACACACATGCGCGCGAAATATTTTATTTTCAGACGGTAGGCACTTGGCAACCAGTCCACATAAAAAAGTGTATTGTTTTGTCAACCTCAAGCAGATTAGGCCGCTGATTGGGCTTACAGGAACTACTTACTGCTTGACTTGACTTCCCACTTTTAAGTGGCTAAAAGCAGCAACAAATGAATTAAATGATGTCTAGGATCCAAGACAATGGCTTCCAAGGGCCTCACACAGAGCTCTATAATGGCGAAGTTAAAAGGTTACTTCCTGAGCGGCAAATCTAAGTTTCTATGTTACAGATTTGTCTCAATCACCGCAGGTTTGCCAAAAAAGAAAACTTAAAGACTATCTCGACGCTGGACTTCAGGTACTGTTTATGCACTTGTACGTTTCCAAGGAAAGATAAACAACTGGAAGAGAAGGGAAGAGGTCATTTTCTTCCTCTAAGCCCCGTATTTCCCAACAAACTACTCTTTTCCAAAAGGAGGCCCAGGTGGAGTATCAGATTAGCATCAGGCTGACGGAAGGCATTTTTCCAGGCTAGGGAGGCTATAGATAGGCTTTTATTCGGCAGCCAGGTCTCAGTTCCAGAAGGCACTGGCAGCACGAGTGGCCATCTCTCGGTCCAGGTTTCCCGAGCCAGTTCTCAAGGTCCTTCCAGGTGGGCGGGGGCAGAGTCGGGTTTCGGGGGATGGGCTAACCACCTCCGGCCCTCGCGCAGCAGACCCCACCCTCATCACTGCAGAAAGGGAAGGGACATGGGACAATATTCACCCTAACCCCAATCCAAACGGGAGGCCGCGAGGCGCTGTAACAAAGCTGGACTGGTCCACCAAGCGAGGCGCCAGCCTCAGCTGGAGCTCTCTCGCACCGGCTGGGGAGGGGACGCCGCAGGGCACAGGCGGGAGACGAGGCGTCGGCATCTGGCCTAGGTGGGCCTTGGGGACACTTAGGCCCAGCTATGGCCACCTTCCTTTGGGGGAAGGGCAGGAGGTAGTAGTACCGACCACCTTTACTCAAAAGGAGATACCAGGCGAGGGAGAGGGAGCCGCCGGTAAACAGGGACTGCCGCGGATCCCGCAGGCCCACAGTCCACCCCGTCAGGGTCAACAGGGGAACATGTCCCGGATCCCCGCCCTGCAGCCCTACGGAATCGGGAAGGAGCCGTCATATTGGACTAAGGCGAGGGCCCTTACCGCTTGAAATCCCGCATGAGCCTCCTACGGGCCGGGGTCGACATGCTCCGCAGCTGCCCCGCGGTCAGTCTGAAAGAAAAGAGTCCCGTTCGGCCCCCCCACCCCCCGGCGCAGCGGCCGAATCACTGTGAATCGCCGCCGCTGCCGAGACTGCACAAACAAGCCTGCAATGACGTCTCCCTCCGCCGCCTCCAGATCCCTCCGCCCTCCGCCAGTACCACCGCGGGAGGAGGGGGAGGGGGCGGGGCGAGCGGGCGCGCGCGCGGCACCGGCCGGCGCAAGGGGCCGTCTTCCGGGCCGGTTTCCTGTGGGGAGCTGCGCGGCGTCCGCTCCCTGCTCACGCTGGACCCGGCAGGCCCGAGGCCGCTGGAGGCCACACGCTACCTCGCCTCTCTCCCCCCGTCGCTAGTTTCAGGTTCGGCCAGACGGGGAGAGACGGGCGCATCCGGAGCCTGAGATTTCAGGGAGAGGAGGTGGGATGACGTCAGGTCACGTGACCGCTGGCGGCGTTGTCAACAATCCACCCCTGAGGGGGAGGGAGCGAAGTATCTAGAACCACGTGTTCCTGTGACGCCAGTAGAACCGGTCACGTGACAGTGTCGACTGGCTCTTGGTTTTAGGTCTAAGGAGGCAGGTCGTTGAGTTTCAGGGCTTGACACTTCTGGTTATGTACCTTGTTGCTTTGGTCCCAAGTACAGGGATTTTGCCTAAGGAGACGTTGTGGAAGGAGCCGCTTGCGTTCTAAGTCTAAAACGGAACGAAAAAAAATCTGGATTTAATTTTTCTGTTTCAAGTGACTTAGCAACTGTGGTTCGTGGAGCAGGTACTGAAGGATCGGATAGACTTAAATAGCTTTGAATGCTAAGGTCAGCCCAAATGAGATGGGCTCACGGGCACTGGGACCAGTAGCCTGTTTGTGCTAGTGGGGTTTTCATATTTTAGAGTTTATAAGAAAATGAGAATGGAATAGATTGTCCCAGCCTTAAAGACTGCACAGAACTAAGGAAATTGGAATCTGAATCTGCCTGCGTTTGAGGCATAATTGTACTTCTCAAGAAATGTATGTGTGGGGGGTGACTTTAGAGCATATCAATGGGCTGCTGGTCGTCAAAGAAACCTACAAAAATGATTCAAATCGGAGAGAGATCTTGCAGACTTGAGTGGGAGGTATTTGTTAAATCTAAGATAAGTCATTTCGGGCTTTAGATAATTGCAAGGAGGGTGCAAAAAGACCGGAAAGTGGTTGATGATGCTCGGCAGTTCAAGGCTCCTCTTTTTCGAGTCACAGAATACCCACCCTCAGCTTCTAGCTCCAGTTGTGAGGGTTTGCTACTTACCCTGGAGTACCAAACATCTTAGTAGACGCGGAATTCTTAGCTCTAGAAGGAGGAAAGGAATGAGAATCTACCACTCCACTCCTGCCCATATTTCCATGAAACCAGGAAGAGTTTACGTTTGCTACTGTCTTCACCCCTCATTTCTTCAAACTCTGAATTGTCTTGATTTAAAGTAACCTTGAGAACCCGTTGTCTTGGTGCATTCTGCTAATCCCACCATTCAGGTAGTGGAAAGGATAGCCTCAGTGACAGTGGAATGGTGGCCACCCTGGGCAGCCTGAGGATGTCTCAACCCCACTCCCACTCCCCCCCCCCCCCCGCACCACCACACACACCATAAAGAAAGTAACCTTGAGGATTGTTAGGTCTAAGCTCCTTAGCCTCTGCTGTGCACTCACAATGCGACTGAGTTAAAAGTTAAATATTCTTTTCTCCTTGTTGAGGTATGCGATGGAACCCCAGGGCCTTACATGGCCCTTTATATTTTTATTGAGCAGGGTACGATACGTGCACAAGCACAACCTCAGCACTACAGAGGTGGTGACAGGACTGCAAATTCCATGCCACCTTGAGCCCCATGGAGAGATACTGTATCGGGGAAAAAATAGTGACACAGTCTCCCTTAAGTTCCCTAGGCTAGCCTTCAACCCCCTTTGAGTAGCCAACGTAGGTATCAAGTGCCTTGCCTTATTATTATTATTAATTTGCCATCCAGCCATACCAATCCTAATCTTCCACATGGTTAAGAAGGAAGGCAAACGTGTGGGATTATATGCAGTTAAATGCTTGAGACTTTTTTTTAATCGTATTCTGTTGCTTATCTAGTAATTTATAATTTATCTAGTAATTTATAGCTTAGAAATGGATTTTTCCAAGATGAAATATTTTGACAAATTCCATGTGCTTCCTTTTTCTCAGAGATAGTTCTCTTTCCACCAAGCAGACTCAAGGGATTGATCTCAAATCGTCGGCTTCAGAGCGTTTTCCTTCTGAGCTATCGCGTTGACCTAGTTTTACTACTATGCCAGTTAAATCAGGATCTCTAGAAGTGTAATCCTTTAAAAATCTTTATGGGTTATTTAAATATACATTCCGAAGTGTCCTTGCATAACACTCAGTCCAGTGAATTATTTGCTCTCCTAAAAAGTTTGCCTTTCATATGTAGCGAGAAAGTTGTTTTTTAAAGGACCGACTGCTAGGGCCGGACAGGGTGACACATACCTTTAAGCACAGCACTTAAAAGCAGGCAGATGAGCTCTTGGAAATTCAAGGCCAGCCTGGTCAATATGGTGAATCCTATGCCAGCCAGAGCTACAAAGTAGACCCTGTCTCAAACAGAAAGAGTACCAGTAGTTGGAAAACACGAAGGAATATCTAAAATGTTAAAGACTTGGTGTTAGAAATGAGTAGCGAATGCTGAGTTTGTGGTTTACCACTGACCTACACCCTTTGCCCCAAGAACCATCTTGTTCCCTGTTTAAGGATCAATGTCGACGCTGAGGTAGCAATCAGGTGTATGGAATATTAATGTAGCGTTGGCAAACTGTAGTCACACAAGGCTTCCTCGGGTCCGTGTCTCTATTGAAAATCAGCCTCTTAGGGCCGGGCACAAGCAGGTGACCAGCAGTCACCCTGGCGACAAAACGCTCAGGCGCAGAGGGCGTTCAATCTGCGACAGAAACGGCTTCCCGTAGTCTACAAGCACGCGAGGCTCCTGCACCCCTCCCCTTGCATCTAGCTTCCGCTTCATGTCACTTTCCCTTCCGGGTCGGGACCCCAGCGATTTCCAGTCTTGCGTACTGCGGTTAGAACGCGGCCAGGCCCCGCCCCCACCCCGTTGCCGGGGCAGCGGGCCGCCCAGAGCCTGCGAAGTTGGCCAGGAAAGGAGGCGTGGTGTCCTATGGCCGGCTGGGACGTAGTGGAGCCGGGAAGGCGGGACTACAGGATGGGTTGATGCGGCGGCAGCTTTCAGGACTAGGTCGACAGCCCGGCGAGAGGCGCGACTCGGGTCGGGGCTGCTTACTTAGACTGTGGGTTTGAGGGAAGGGTGGGCCTGTGGGCGACTGCAGTACCGAAGTGGGGTTCCCACGCTTGGTGGGCCGTAGCCTCAAGAGATCCGCCGTGTTAGTGAGAATTTTTAACCTGGCTTCCGATGTCGTTGCTGTTATCTGAAAGGGAACCTCATTCTAAACACCGTATTCTAAAAGGATTTCTGAATTAAGCGCGAATCAGACCTCCCTTTAATTTCTAAGTCCCAAAATGCTAGATAAATGCAGGACACCTCTATGTTCTGGTGAAAGTTGGAGCTTCTCCAACTACTTAAGAATTCCCATGAACAGGCTGTGCTATAGCCAGCTCTGCTAGTTTTTGTTCTATCTGAATACATAACCCAGCTTGAAAATTATAAGGGTGAACTTTTAACTTTTTTTTTTTCTATGAAGCAGAAACCAGCCTTGAAAATGGAGATGTATGAAACTCTTGGAAAAGTGGGAGAGGGAAGTTATGGAACGGTCATGAAATGCAAACATAAGGATACTGGGCGGATAGTGGCCATTAAAATATTCTATGAGAAACCAGAAAAATCTGTCAACAAAATTGCAACGAGAGAAATAAAGTTTCTAAAGGTTTGTTTCTTTTGCCTTTTAATATATATATATGTGTGTGTGTGTGTATGTGTGTATATATATATGTATGTATATATATACACACACACACCCCTCGGGACTCATCTTGCAATGAAGCCCCGGATGGCCTAGAACACTTAATTTTTCCGGTGCTGAAGTTTACAGGCTTCATCACAACACCGGGTGGATTTTGCCCTGATTGTGTAAGTCAAGAGAGAAATTTGTTTTTTGTTTTGTTTGTTTGTTTTTTTGAGACATGATTTCTCTGTGTAGCTTTGGATCCTGTCCTGACACTCTCTTTGTAGACCAGGCAGGCCTCGAACTCACAGAGCTACATCTGTCTTTGCCTCCCAAGTACTGCGATTAAAGGAGAAATTGTTATAAAGTAAAAATAAAATAGATGAAAGAACATTTCCATTAACAGATATACCAAGACCTTCATAGAGAAATCCTCATTGTCTACAGTTTGTAATTTTTTTTAGTGATAAACGAGCTGTGTGCTTCTGTATAACAGAATTATAATATTGCAAAGACATTCAAAACTATTCAAATATAATACTTATAATGGTCCGCTTTACAGAAGGGATTGTGGAAGAAGCTAAGACTAGAAAGAAGTAAAAATCTGTTCCTTAATGACTTATAACTGGGCCGGAGGGTATGTAAAAATAATCCTGAGTAAGAGTGACTCATGCTTTGTGGTTAAGAGCACTTATTGCTCTTGTAGAGGACTAGAACATTTCTCATGACTCACCTGAGGAGGCTAGAAGCTTCCTGGAATGCTAGCTCTTTCTGGCCTCCAGGGACACCTGCTGGTTTGTGTGCATAACCTCATACCCACAAGGGTTTTTTGTTTTGTTTTTTAATGGTTAATATTAAGTACCACAAAACTCTGTTTGGCGGGGTAGGTTTCATGCAGAAAATATGGTATGTTCTTGGCCTTGAAGGATCTGTAGCATTTGGGTAAAGTAGAGCTATTACTGAGTTCCAGGTTAGGGGGATGGGAACAGCATATGCTCAGAAAGACTAAAACAGACAGCAAGAGTGAAAAGGAAAAGAACAGATACGTGTCTATGAGTTTCTGAGTTTCTTGTATAGAATTAGA